TGCTCACGAGCGGCCACGTGAGGTGAAGCAGGAGGCTCTTTGAAGCAGCCCCACGGTCCCTCAAAGAACGAGGCCTGTTCCCCTGTAGGGCGAAGGAACCGAACACGAAGAGGCAGCGTCTTTGTTTCTGTCCTGCCTCGCCGAGAACTCGTCTTATGCTTTCTCTTGCTCCCTGGCTTTTGTAACTAACTAACTGAAAATTTTATGACAGGCTGTGCTAGGAATTTGCTCTTTTTGTTGGGAGAGAAACCAGAKAATTCCTTTGTATGACTGCTGCCCCACGTCCCACTGCATGAGTCCATGAGACAGATATTTGTAGACTTTCCCCAGATAACGATTCTAAGGCAAAGCACGTTTCTGGCAGTAATCTCAACTCATCTTCTTCCCTGGCTGTCTCACAGGGTGCAGGGGGAGTCCTGGCGGGTTTACAGCTCTGGATCCACCTCCTAAGTACAGGCAGCRTTCGTTAAAGTATAGCCCAGCATCCCCAGACACATTTTGCTGCTGATATTGCATGGGCAAGACACAAATCCCTGTCCAAAAGAGAGAATTTTGACTTTTTRTTCTAGTATTTAATCAAGAAGTATCTGATTTGGCAACAAATGTGCTAACTAGTCTCTTTGATCCACAAGCGGTTCAGCTAAATTTAGCCATCCTGACACCAAGCTGCCCTGAGTGCTCTTTGCATGACGAGTAGCACAGAAAGAATTGATTTGCCATCAGTGAATAGCTAAGATTTCTTTTTTTTTATCATTAAAAAATACTGTGTTTTGCCAATGACACATCCCAGACTAGACCAGGGCAGAGCACCCTCACAGGCAACCTGGGGTCACTTTGCCCTAAAGAGCTCTGCTGAGGCCCCATGAGAAGTGAAGACCAGAAGCGGAAAATCTTTACTAAGAGTTGGCTTAAATAGTTTCAGAAATTCTCTTACACCTGGCAGAGGCAATTTTGCTGGAGTTACCACCTTCCACAATTTTTCAGTTCTCACATTTTATTTTCTGAACATTTAGTGCAGATGTTTTTGTCCCAGCTTATAGTGCCAAGCGTGTGCACAATATTAGGGGAAAAATAGGTTAAAGGCAAAGAATGAAACTAGTTACACAAATATRTTACTCAGTCAATACATCCCTCCTATAGTGCTGTTAGCACTAGTTTGTTAATGACTGTTAGTGTTTGCGGCTTTTATAAGGGGTAAAGAAACTTCTGTGAGGTCAACATGAGCACATATTGTTGATAAAATTGTGCTTAATACGATCTTACAATAGGCATATTTTACTGTGCTCACCARCGGATGCAGGGAAAGCAAAACTAAATGTGAATACTGTGTTGGCTGGAACATGCACTTTTGACCAAYATACCTCTGTGTACATTCTTTTCTTTCCAGTGAAGCAGCAATGCTGGGGATGGYACTTTCTACCATATCTTTCTTCCATCAGTCCATGGAAAGGGAGCAAGATACCAGGGTTTCTGTAGCATGTACACAGAAGGAAGAATTTTCTTGMTACTGTTACCAGCTGGCAGAATGTAAGAGTAAGGTAGGTTTAATATTCATGGATTGTATTTGAGTAGAGATGGCATAATTCCTCATAAAATATAAGGGATGGGATTTAGTGGATGGATGWGGGTATATCTTAATTAATCTCTCTGCCAATTAAACGATGGGATTTCTAATTAAGATGACCCCAAAGCAATTACTCAGACTTGTGTATTTACATTAATTAGACTACCAAAGCATTAGGAGTAGTATTACAAATTTGTGGAAGGTGCAAAGTGCTATTTCCAATTTAGAGCAATTCACTACCTAATATCTAATGAGGGAAGACCTCACAGCAGTTAGACCATTTCCTTCCCACCATTTATTTTGTCCCTTAGGACTTCAGCTCTAAAAGAAAATTGAGGGGGATGCTTGTGTTGCAGTGATAGGGCAGAGCCCTGACAGCCTGCGTGATGTGGAGCACTGACGTCGAAATATTTGTCATATGTGATACAGAAGCCTCGTCTTGGGAGACAGCTGCTTCTTTTCACTCCCACKTTAGTATTCACCAAACTAGCACCTAATGAGGTATGATATCACTAGCTCAATTTTGCACAAGCATTTGTGTTTTATTCTCTTCAARAGCAAATCTAATCTGCTCATAAAACAATTAACCTTGATGATTAATTGGTGGAAGTTAACACCATAAATAGTGTTTTTTTTTCTTTAAAAAAAGACCTGCAGGCCATGATTCAGCAAGACATTTAAGCATATACTCTCAGCAGAACAACTTGTGTGATTCAAGAAAGGCAAATGGCTCATGATGGGCTCTCTGCAGCATGCAGTTTTCTGAATGAAGGTCTCAGTGGCCCTAATTTGGTGAAATAACGTTCCAGTGGTCTCAATGTTTGTTGAAAAAAAAAATCAGGATCAGCTCATCCTGCAGCATTGTAAATATGTCATTTCAAAACACTTTGTTGCTTTTATGTGGATGACTACTTCTAATAAGTTAAAATCCTTGAAAACCATTTCAGGTAGGTTTGGAGTTCTGATTGTAATTGCTAACTACCACATGTGATGGAGCAGAGTAGAATCATATTCTTTTAGAATGTTTTTTCTTGTCAAATATGTATTTCACCTGCTACAAAGCTCTCAGTCTCTTAGCAAAAAGGCAATCAAAGCAGTCTGCAACTGAATTACTGAAGGAATACAAAATATATTGCAGGTAGTAAGACGCCTTTCTATAGAAAGAACCAGTAAAGCAGACACCATCATTGGTTAATTAAACAATTTTTTAATGATATAATATGAATCCTGAAAAAAAAAAATGTGGGGTGGAAATCAAGAAAGAATTGGAACTCTGGATATGTTCACTGGCATTTTTAAGCTCAGTATTTCATTTAATACAAATAGCATAGTCATTATTTGGTCTCTTTGAAGGTGTTCTGGTAAGAGAAAAAAATGGTGAAGCCATTTCTCTTAATTTATAAGAATGTGTTAAACCCTTCTTTCTTGAGTCTTCAAATAAGAGTTTTTATCTTTCTGTTTACAGCTCCAATTTTTTTTTTCGCTGTAGCCTTAGCTCAGAAGTCCACTTTTTCTTTAATCTGTCATCAAGGTCAAACACGGATGTTTTTCAGGCTATACAAAACCATCTGCTGCTTCACTCTTCCATGTTAGCTGCCTGTCAATGACACAGACACATTCACGCATGCGCCTTCCCCAAACAATACAATACACAGAAGAAAACCCCAAAGCAGAGCATATTCAAATTTCTGTGATGTCTTACAGTTGCCTTTGGCTATGGAAAGAGTCAAGTGTCTCCTCAAGTGTCTTAAATGAAAATGAAACCCCAATGTTTTGGAAGGTTTAATGCAACCTACAGACATACATGGAGCAGGAGAAAGGGGAAGGAATATCTGCTACAAGTTGTTATTTACTAAAGCACAGAACAAATAATAAAGAACTAGTTTCCCAAAATTGGATACCAAAATCAATTAGTGAAGTGTCAAGAGAAGGGATTGTAGTGCAGCTTTAACTGTATATTTCAACCAACCATCCTCAACAGCATCACTTCTGACATCGCCCTAATGTATGAGCATTTGTGTAAGTGTATATGTAAACCAGATTTCCTACTGCTTCTAAAAAGTGGGGAAAAAAAATCTCTGTTCACATGAAATGTTCAGCTGCATAATGAAAAATGCTACAAACAGCTGGGCTTTGCTCTTCTAAAATGTCCCATACTCTATTCAAAGATGCTTCATTTTTTAAATTTTTCATATTTTGCACTTCTGTACGATACCTCCTTTTTTTTTTTTTTTTTTTTTTTTTTTTTTTTTTTTTTTCCCCCTCTGGTAGATGCTTTTTACCCTCCTTTCCTAGAGCTGAGGCTTCCACCTTGAGTATCTGTGAGTAATGCTGAACATTGAATTATCAGGATTATATAATATGGGGGACAAATTATTTCATAGCTGACCAGAGCTACCCTGCCGAGCAAGAAGATGATAGAAACCATTGAGTGACTCCTTGTTCCTCCTTGGTGAAAAATCCATTTGAGTTCAGCAAAATATAGCTGTGTGTATATATATGTATTTTTCTTTTCAGGATTTTTTTCTCTTAGTGATAAAGGAAGGTAGAGATAGAGCCAGAGATAGAGATAAGAGGGTGTAGAAGAAGTCATTTGTTACTGCATCATATCTCATTTGCTTTGCTAGGCTGATCTTCCAAGAGGGAACTGAAAAATCAAGTTTGCAGTAATTCAATGTAGAAAAGAATATTGCCTTTATCCCATAGTCAATGCATTTTTGAAAATTAATGCACAGTCACTTTAATTTTAAAACACAGAATACCTTTGACTACACTGAAATCTAATAAGYGTTTCCAGTGCTTTTCCTACTACTGAAAAACCTGCCTAGTGTGGGTACAACAACTGTCAACAATCCGAGGAAAGAAAGTACAGGGAGTACCTCATTCTGAACAGAAAAACTACGAGGCCAGGCAGCAGGGAGCAAAATACAATTGCCCAAGTTCTCCTTCTAGTGCCTCAGTGCAAGTCCTTCCATTTCAAATCAGTTCTGTCATATTATATCAGATGAGTCTGTCCAGGCATAGTAAGAGATCAGGGCCAAGCAGCTCAGCATCCGGAAAGGTATTACTCAGGTGTCAACATCCAGAGACAGGAGCCAATACAAGTCAAGAGTCAGTTAAAAGACTTGCTGCAATGTCCAGAGAAGATAGCGAGCTGATGCAGACACTTTAAGCAGTTAGTTAAACTAACATGGACTTAATTGTTAGCAAATAACCTTACAGAGAGTTAATACTTCAATATAATAAATATAAACAGTCTTTCGAACAAGAACAAGGTGATCATACCCCTAGGGCCACCACCTACTTGGAGGAACTTTCTTCCCAGCGGTTCCTGGGAGGATGTTGTCCCAGATCAAGAAGTCCTGCCGTGTTCTGTACAAACACACTAACATCTGCATCTAACCCAAATAACTTTTTTTTTTTTCAGACTTTCCCATTTGGAGCTGGCTTTAGAAGAAAATACAAAGGAGGTGATGCCAACATCCCTCCCTGCCTCTACTTTGATATCATGAGTACTTTCAACAAGCAAAAATATCCAAATTGAGCTGCACGATCCACTCATAGCTACTCATCAGAATGGGAACTGTAAAGCATTTGTCATTTTTTCTCAAAGTTTGCAGCATGTAAGTATCACTTAAACCTATGCTCTTTCATATCCTACCTCTCAAACAACCCCTCACCACTGAGATATTCCATTAGTGCCATGCTGGGAACGGAATGTGTTTCTGGATTTTATAACTTGAYTTTGAACGAGAGCCGCATAGCTAGTCTTACTCCCAAGATTACAGTTCATCTCACAGTCAGAAGGCAAAGTAGATGTGATGCATTTCAGCATTTTCCCTGCCTGTACAGTTAAGTTGGCTGCTGGCTGACATGCCGGTGCTTTGATCTGCAGTGCCCAGAGCAATATAAGCAGTCAGACCAGTGTAAGAACTGTGACTCCCTTTCATAAGAAGAGAGTAACRTCCCACCTCCTTGTGAAACAGCTTATTCCCTATCATGGACCTGAGGAAAGAATAACCCAACTTTCTGCCTCTTGGATTTACTTCCTGTCTTACCCATCTCTGTCCTATGGTCTCAAGGACAGCATGACTGGGCAGCAGCTCAAGGAAAAGCAGTTCCTCTCTCATAAACTCCTTTCTGCTGGCAAACGGGTTATAACAACAAAATCCAAAACAGATATCAAATGATGGTRATAACTGTTATTTGAAGACTTATCTAATCTTATTCGTGGGGGTGGAAAGAAACTGAACTAAGAGAAGGGCATGATTGGCACTTGCGTCACTTCTAAGTTGATCTGCTTCCCTTTCKAAGTTCACCTGGCATTTTCAGAGATTTCAGTGAAGATTACTGCTAGTAATTTCTGATTAAAAGGGTCAGAGACAAAATGCAATCTGGATTTCATTGTTATTCCTTTTTATATGTGAAGGTGTTGAATTTGTTATTCACAGCTCTATGATCAATCTCAGAGACTGACCTTACAGCATTTGATTAATACTCCGGTTGCTAAGCCTTTACAGATCAGACTTTATCTCCATTCCCTTTGACCACTGAATGATACTTTTTTTTTTCCAACTTTATACCTTTTTCAGTAGCATCTCATTATAGAAGTGAGGCAATTTTAACTTTAAAGGGACTGTCTGTGTACGAGGTGACTGGGATTTAGCTGGCCTGCCAATGGTGAGAATGGCAGGGATAYGTGGCTGGGATGTGATGTGGGCAGGAAAAAATGAAGTGCATAATAGGAAGGCAGAAGAGACTAATGCTGACTAACCCACTTGGTAAATCTGTGCCARCAACCTGAGTAAGATGAGTAAAGGGCAATGTATTTACCTGCACATAATTTATTTAAAACATTCCCATTTGCTGTTATTGACACAGTAATATGGTGGTTCAGAGTGTCAGGATGAAAGGAGGAGCAGTAGCATCACGGGCTGTCATTAGCCACTCTTGTTTCCAAAGAATTTGAGGGGAATCTTGAAAAGTGCATATTTTAGTAAGCAGCAGTCAGAGCTCCCTTCTCTCAGAAATGGCATCCTGAAAGAAGGCAATTCAGAAATCCTCAAATATCTCTGGTAACACTCTGCAATGAGCGTCCCGGCTCATGTGAGAACAAGGTACTACCCAATATTGTGAATGAGAGCAGAATGTTGCCTACAATAAATCAGAAAGCGGTCGGTTCTTGCTATTAACAAGGGAGTAAAGACATATCTAGAGTTCGTGTCAAGTTTATCTGGTCCATCAATGCCAGATGTACCAATGGGGATACGTCAGGCTATACAACTTACAGCATTCATTCCAGGTTACTGCAGAAGAACTCCTCCAGGTCACCACTGAGACCATCTCCCATCCCCTTCACTTGTCCTGTACATTCCTACCACAGTGGGAATAAAAAGCTATTAAACCCAAAAGGCAGCATTAGTATAAATGATTATAGAGAATAACAGTAAGGTTGCGTTGGGTCCAGATCAACTCAGAAACCATTGTCAAAATGTATTCTGCAGTAATAAGGAGAGAGAAAGAAAAAGAGACTTCTTGTTAGTTCCCATTTATTTAATGACAACATAAACTCTGAGCTAGCTATTTTGTGTGTCAGAAGGTAATCGTGCATAAGCAATTCTTGCTCTTGGAAGAATTTTACCTTGTGGCTACGTTCTGTTTGAGAGGATTTCAAGGAATATTCTTATCACCTACAGGCTTTTCAGTTGTTTGCACACTTATTGAACAAGTAGAGGAAAAGAGAAAACAGACTTCATTAATATATAAATTAACTTTCCAAGAAAGTCAGGATTCATAGTGCACATTTAAAGGCCAYGCAGGCCTTTTCAGTACGATGGCATTGCATGCTTTCCAGTAATCTGTAGAGCTCCCTAACTCCTGCAAGACACTTCTGCCTCACAGACAGAATGGTTTGAAAACCTTTATTGGTTTTCAAACAACCTCACAGAGCTAAGCAAAGATCTTTTATGCTTACCTTTTGCATAACCCAGTGTAATGAACTGGGATGTCTTTGCCCATGGTACAAAAGCAAAAGCSTAGATTTTAGCCAGCCCTTTGAAATCATCCTTTACCCAGACTAAGCCAAGAGCAAACAGTCCTGTCTTTCAGGTAGTGTCAAATACTTTGGGCTAAATTAGTCCTAGTTCTATTTTCACACATCTGTTGGATGTTTTGCAATGATGGTCCTATTTGCTTAGTGCTGTGCTAGTTATTGAAGTCCATGAGACTCAAAATACATTCAGTCAAATACTTGCATAAAAGTTTTACAAACTCAGATTACCTCTGATTGCATAGACTATTGAAGGCTGAGTAGCAAAGATGAGTAACTWATTTAGTTTCAGTTGCAGAGACTGCCACTAATGTAGTGTTTTTATGTACACTGCAGGGTATATATGATCAAGACTCTTCTTTCATTACTCATCAGCATAGACATTCATGGCATACATATTTCTCAATGTAAATAATGGAATTAATTGCCATTCCCAATACTTACTAAGATCATAATTCATATAAATATCTTGAAAACTGGCCCAGATTTTCCTGCAGAGGCCAAGTCTACAGAAAAAAACACTAAGGATATTCATTTGTTGTTTTATGTTTATAAATTTCGTATAGTATACTTTTGATTCAGTAGATAATTGACATTTCAAAATTAAACTTGCTGGAAAGCAGGAAAGAAAACAAACCCAGAAACGCATTCTTTAGTTTATCCTCAGACATCTCTCTTTTTTTTTATTTTTTTTAATCGTATATTAATTTCTCATTACCTCTGCAGATCAAATTAAGATAGAGTGGGAGTGTGGAATACATTATTTGTGGCACATTGAAGCTTAGGATGTTACTTTAAAAATTAATTTGTAAGACACAATTTGTTAATGCTGAACTTTTTCATTATACATTTTAATAGCCCTCAGATGACACCATGTGCTATGTTTTGTGCTTTGCAGTACCAACCATGTAACACTTAGAATGTGAAAACCGACTCACAGTGAGTGTAAAACATGTTGATCACAATTACAGAAAGATAACCCAGGATTTGAAATAATACAGCAAGTATCTGCATCTTTGCAGTTACCAAAGATGATTACCCATCTGGTTCTAAGGAAATAYGTGTTCACTTGAAGTTAGATACCAATGAGGTAACTTCAGCTTTTGTTTTCATTCCAATCACTCAAAAATAGCCTGATAATTTAAATATCTCAAGTCCTAAACAATAAGGAAATATTTCAAATGTGTGATACTGAATTGTGCAAATTTTTAAGTATTAGGTGAGAACAGTAAGCCCAGGAACTACCACTCTCTATTATATATGATAACTACTATGATACTAATACGTATATCTCAAAGACTTGCTGGAAGTCTGCATATTCATATATTTTTAAAAGAACACTTGAAAAACAAATTTCTTACTAGAGCGGAAATTTTCATGAAAACAAGCCTCTAAAAGTTATTTTATGTTTTATTTTGTGACCTTCTGCTCCCATCCTTTCTCGAGAGCTAAATTAGAAGAAAAAAAGGAGCACAAATAGAAAGGGAGAGATGATAAAACTGAAAATTAGTTTGAAAGGCTGACTTCATTTTTTCCTTTCCAAATTACTTATTTGTTTTGCTGAACAGTTGTAAGGTTTTAAAATGGTGCTTTCATTTGAAACCATAAGATTCAAACAAATTTGAATGGCTTGCAACAATATGTTCAACATTTTTCATGCAATTGTAGGAAGGCAACTGGGAAGACAGAAAGGGAAGAAGGATGATGCTGGTTCCCCATGAGTGCTGCTGCCTGGAGTGCTATTTTTTGCACCAGTGTTTGCCTTTGCCTTTCCTCCCTAAACAGCTTCATGAGCTCCGAAGACCTTCCAGTCCACTCTGCAACCTGCTACTTCTTACAAATTCTTTTAAGCCAAGAGAACTGACTGCAATTTCTATTTTAGCGCATCTCCAGCCTCTGCCAAGGGAATGTAAGCAGCAACGAAAGGAATCTTCTACATACAACTGTGAAATACATGTAGAAATCTRTCTATTTAAAAAACTGAATAATAAACATCTCAAAATCCCTGCTCTGCCAACATGTTCACATATCGTATACTGACTGACATCACCTTTGACCAAAGCCAGTGATCTTTAAAGGCTTTAAAAGGCTTTAAAAATCCTTCTAAATAATATTCCCTTATCCCTCCCCAGACTTCAGTAAGGCAAGACAAAATAAAAACCACAACGAAGTCCAGGTAAACAGGGCATGTATYTCAGTATCAGTATTTTCATGTGACTATGAAAATTGTGTGGTGATGACCAGCATGGTACACTTTGTTCAGGGGTTTGGAGTGCTCCTTGGTGAAAATTTCTCTCTTTTTTTTTCTCTGCTCTTTTGCTGTGAGACCAAAGAAATAGCTCCAAGGTATTTCCTTTCCCACAGGCAAATGGGTAACTAAATATTTTATATGAGGATGAGCACAGTCCTCTGATACTGCTTAATGTACCTTTTTTTGCAATTTAAATGTCATTTGTATTACCAGCACAATGGATCAATTTTGCCCTTGGGGCATAGAAGGTGTCAGAGCAATACCAGGGTTAAAAGAGGCTCAGAGTGAGGTAAATACATTGAACAAGTGGCAACCAAGGGAAC